GGTTAAAAATACCCCTAATTAACCCTGGCTGGTTTGGCTCAGTAGTTGGAGCGTTGGCCTGCGGACCAGAGAGTCCCAGGTTCACTTCCCACTAGGGGCACGTACCCCCCAAAAATTAAAAAAATATAAACATGCCCCTAATTTGACAAAACAAACAAAAAACGTCTTTCTACAAATGCAAGATACTGAGCGAATCCCAAATAGGTTAATCCCCAAGAAATCCATGCCAAGACACAATAGACACAGAATCTTGAAAGCAAACACAAAGAAATGACAACACCTATAGAGAGAAAACCCATTCAAATGACAGTGGCTTTCACATCAAAAACCATGGAGACCACAAAGAAGTGAAACGACGTTTTTTTTGGATACTCAAAGAAATACACTATCAACACAGAAACCTGTATCTATGAAAATATTCTTCAAAAGGAGGGGAAAACAAGACATTCGCAGATGAAGGAAAACTAACAGAATTATTAACCAACAGAGATTCATCCTAAAAAAAAAAAAAAATGCTATAAGGAATTCTGTAAACAGAAAGAAGATGATTTAAAAAAAAAGACAAAATCTTGCCCTGGCTGGTTTGGCTCAGCAGTTAGAGTGTCGGCCTTCGGACCAATGGGTCGCAGGTTCGATTCCCCGTCAAGGGCACGTACCTCGGTTGCGGTTTGTCCCTGGCCCTGGTCGGGTCATGAGGCAGGCAACCTGTCGATGTGGCTCTGTCACATTGATGTTTCTTTCTGTCTCTCCCTCTCTCTCCCTCCCTCCCACTCTATCTGATGATAAATAGAAAAATATCCTCGGATGAGGAAAAAAAATATTTTACCAAAGCCAGAGAAGAATATTATTTATAATAAGCAAAGAGTCAACCCACCAAAATACAGAGCAATCCTAAATGTGTAAGCAACAAATAAAAGACCTGCAAAATATGAGAACAAAGACCAATAGACATGAATGGAGAAACAGACAAATTCACAGTTATAGCTGGAAATTTTAACACTCCTCCCTCAACAATTGATAGACGAACTAGACAAAATCAGCAAGGATATGTAAGAATTCAACAACACCGTCAGCCAACAGGATCTAATTGACATGTATAGAAGCCTACGCCCAACAACAGGGTGATACATATACTTGCCAAGTACGCATGGGACATATAACAAGATAAACCAAATTTAGGGCCATAAAACAAGACTCAAAATTTTGAAAGAGTTTAAATCATGCAGAGTATATTCTCTGACCACAATGAAGTTAAACTAGAAATCAGTAACAGGAAGATCTCAAACCCTTGACAACTAAACAACACACTTCTTAATAATCTTTGGGTCAGAGAAAGAGTCTCAAGGGAAACCAAAATACATTGAACTAAAAGAAACTGAAAATAGAACTTATCACGGGTTTTGTGGGACAGGCCAAAGCACTGGAGGGAAACGTACAGGAGTAAATGCTCACAGTGGAAGAAGCAAGTTCTCAAATCAATAATATAGGATTTCATCTTCAGAAACTAGAAAAATAGGAGGAAAAAAACCAAAACATAACACAGGAAATCATAAATATAAAAACAGAAATCAATGAAACTGAAAACAAAAATAATAGACGTCCTAGCCGGTTTGGCTCAGTGGTTGGAGCATTGACCCACAAACCAATGAGTCACAGGTTCAATTCCTGTCAAGGGTACTTCCCTCGGTTGTGGTTCACCCCCAGCCCTGGTCAGGGTCGTGCAGGAGGCAACCAGTCAATGTGTCTCTTTCACATCGATGTTTCTCTTTCTCCCCCTCTCTCCCTCTCTTCTACTCTGTCTAAAGATAAATGGAAAAACATCCTTGGGCGAGGATTAACATAATAAAAATAATAGAGAAAATAAAATATCTGGTTTACTGAAAAGATCAACCAAATTGACAAACCTCTAGCAAGACTGACAAATTAAAAAAGAGAGAGAGAAGACAAATTGCTAATATTAAGAATGAAGCAGGGCAGCCCGGCCAGAGTGGCTCAGTGGTTGAGCTTCGACCCATGCACCAAGAGGTCACTGGTTCGATTCCCTGATAGGACACATGCCCAGGTTGTGGGCCAAATCCCCAACGGGGGGCATGCAGGAGGTGGCCAATCGATGTTCTCTCATTGATGTTTCTCTCTCTCTTTCCCTCTCCCTTCCACTCTCTGTGAAATCAATAAAGAAAAAAAAAAAGAAGAATGAAGCAAGACATATCGCTACTGACCCTGTAAACATCAAAAAGATAATAAGGGAATATTATGAACAACTCTACCCACGTAAACTTGATAATTTAGATTACATGGATCAATTTCTTGAAAAGTACAAACCACAATTTACTTAATATGAATTAGGTAACTTGTATAGCCCTATAACTACTAAAGTAATTTAAAACCTAAAAAAGAAAACTCCAGGCCCGTATAGTCTACTCACCATTTAAAAAGGAATTAATGCCAATTCTACGTAATCTCTTCCAGAAAATAGTAGCAGGAATGCTTCCCAGCTCATTCTATGAAACCAGTATTACTATGAAGCCAAATAAGAAAAAATAGCCAACAAAACAAAACAAATATAGTACAAAAGACAGACAAATAGTCTTCATAAATATAGATGTAAAACTCCTTAACCAAATATTAGCAAATAGAATCCAGCAATATATAAAAAGAATTATATACCATGACCAAGTGTATTATTCCAGGGATGCAAGGCTGGTTCAATATTTGAAAATTAACTAAAGTAATCTCATATTAATAGGATAAAGAAAAAAAATTACATGATTATATAAGTAGTTGCAGAAGATAAATTTGATGATATTCAACACTCATTCATGATGAAAAGTCTCTGAAAACTAGAAATAGAAAGAAAATTCCTCAACGTAATAGCCTATAACTAACCTACAAAAACTATAGAACAAAAAGACTGAATACTGCCTCCCCTAAGACTGAGGACAAAGCAAGGATGTTCACTTCTCATCATCCTTATTCAAGAGGGTACTGTAACTTCTAGACAGCACAACTAGGTAAAAAAAAAGGCAAAAGAGCTTATAGATCTGAAAGGAAGAAGTAAAACCATCTCCAGCGGCAGATAACACAATTTTCTATGTAGAAAATCCCAAGGAACATACAAAAAAATTATTAAACTAAGTGAGTTCAGCAAGTTTGCAGAATGCAACATCAACACCAAAATTAGTCACATACTTTGTACTAACAACAAACAGATGGAAACTGAAATTTAAAATACGATTCCATTTATAATGGCTTAACGAAATACTTAGGTGTACTAAATCTAGCAAAGCATATATAAGATTTGTATACTGAAAACTACAAAACACTGCTGAAAAAAACCAAAGACCTAAATAAATACCGTGTTAATAAACTTTACCGTGTTAGTAAAGATGTCATTCCCTCCCAAATTCACACACAGTTTTAATCCAATTACTGTCGAGATCCCAGAAATGTTTTTCTGTAGTTATGAACAAGATTATTCTAAAGTTATACAGAAAGACAAAAGAACTTGAATAGAAAATATTTCTGAAAAAGAAGACTAAAGGGGGAGGAATCCCTCTGCCTGATTTCTAGGCTTAGTATGAAGTAATATACTGTCATCAAAAGTATATGATATTGGTAGAGGATATAAACATATAGATCAATTGAACCCAGAAATAACCCCACACAAGAACGACCAACTGATTTTCAATAAAAGATCAAAAGCAATTCAATGGGTGAAAGAGTTTTTTCAACAAGTGATGGCAGAGCAATCGGATATCCATAGGCAAAACATAAACCTCCACCTAACCCTCACACTTTATACAAAAATGAACTCAAAGTGGATCATAGATTTACATGTGAAACATTAAATGATAAACTTTAGAGGGTAACATGGGAGAACATTTGGGGGACATAGGACCTGATGAAGAATCCTTGGACATGTAACCAAAAGCATGACCTCTAAAATTCAATAAATTGAACTTCATCAAAATGAATCTTTTTTTGTTCTCTGTGAAAAACCTTTTTAAGAGAATGAAAAGATGAATCACAGACTGGGAGAAGAATATTTGAGAACCGCATGCCTGACAAAGGACTCAGAATAAATATATAAAGAACTCTCAAAACTCAACATTCAATTTAAAAAATCAAATAATCCAATTAGCAGAGGGGCAAAAGACATGAAGAGACATTTCATGGAAGAGAATATACACATGGCAACTATGCACCCGAAAAGGTGTTTAACATCACTAGTTATTAGTGAATTGAAAATCAAGACCATGCTAAGGTATTACATACCTATTAGAAAAAGAGCTAAAATAAAAAACAATGATACTACCAAATGCTGGTGAGGATGCAGTAAAACTGAGTCATTACTGTGTTGCTGGTAGGATTGTAAGTATGGTACAGCCATTCTGCAAGAGTTTGTAAGTTTCTTGAATAACTAACAAAATGCACCTGCCACATGATTCAGCAATTGCACTCCTGGGCATTTATCCCCAAGAAGTGAAAACTGATGTCCACACAAAAACCTGTACACGATTGTTCATAGCAGATTTATTTGTAATAGCTCCAAACTGGAAACAACCATGTCCCTCGCTGTAAATCCAATCACGGGATGCCACGGAGCAATAGCAAGGACCAGAGCATTGATACATGAAACAACTTAGATAATTCTGAAGGGCATTAGACTGAGTGGGAAAAAGCCACTCAAGGTCACATACCACATGATTCCCTTTTTTCCTTTTTCTTTCTATTTTTTTTTTTTTATTATCCTCACCAGAGGATATTTTTCCATTTTTTGTACAGATAGAGTGGGAGGGAGAGAGAGAAAGGGAGAGAGAGAGAGAAACATCGACGTGAAGGGACACATCGAGTGGCTACCACCCGCACGACCAACCAGGGCCGGGGACAAACTGCAACTGAGGTACGTGCCCTTAGCGGGAACCGAACCTGGGACTCTCAGGACCGCAGGCCGACGCTCTAACCACTGAGCAAAACTGGCCAGGGCCCCTTTTTTTCTTTTAAACATGGAACGTTTCACAAATTTGCATGTCATGCTTGCGCAGGGGCCATGCTAATCTTCTCTGTGTTGTTCCAATTCAAAGCAAGCACAGAACGATTCCTTTTATGTAACATTCTTGAAATGACAAAATGCTAGAGATGGAGAACATATTACTGGTTGCCAGAAGGGAGGGATGGTGAGGGAAAGGGAAGTAGATATGACTATGGGGAGATCTTTTTTTTTTTCCTTTATTGATGTTAGAGTGAGCGAGAGGAAGGGAGAGGGAGAAAGAGACAGAAACATCGATGTGAGGGAACATCGATTGGCCGCCTCCTGCATGCCCCTCACTGGGGATCAGGCCCACAACCTGGGCATGTGGCCTGACCGGGAATCGAACCAGCGACCTCTTGGTGCATGGGTCGATGCTCAACCACTGAGTCACACCAGCCAGACGTAGATCTTTTATGATAAATAAAAAAAAATGGTTCTGTGTCTTGCTTGTGGTAGTAGTCACATACATTTAGATGTGTGATCAAAGGACTTAGAACTATACACACACATTGGACCGATGCCAAATTCCTGGTTTTTCTTTTTCATTATAATTATGTCAGAACTAACCGTGGAAGGAAACTGGGTGACAGGCACACCAGAACTGCTTTCTTTGCAACTTCCTGTGGCTCTATAATTATTTCAAAATGAGAAGTTAAAATATAAGACAGAGATCTCAATGGGGCCTTCAGCGTAGGGGACAGGGTTCCAAAGGTCGTCAGCAGAGGACCAGCTGGGGACTGAACTCCCTGGTGGTCACCAAGGAGCGTCCGTGGCCTCTACTGGCACAGTTCCAGGCATCGCTCAGGGTCCTGTAACGGGAGGGCATCGGGCAGTAGCTCCCGGATGTGCCTTGATTTCTGGAGGCGGCGGGTTGTGTGAAAAAGGCCAGGGCAGGGGCAGAACGCCTAAGTGTGGCACCTTCATGCTTCCTCCCGTTTTGGGCGACGTGACTGTCACCACTCCACTGCCACCAGGGAAGTGATGGAGACAGGCAAGTAGGGGCCACGGAGAGGCCTGGGCTGTCACTCCTGTCCTGGCTGGGGCCCTCCGAGCCCCCCGCCCAAGACGAAAAGGGGGAGATAGTGATAGCACCCTCCTCACAGGGTTAGTGAGGTCACCCCTGTGACGCACTCCTCCTCTTGCACAGCATATGACAAGCATGCTGGGAACAGACCCGGGTTGACATTCCAGTCCTGCCATTGGTCAGCCGCGGCCTCCCTCAGCCTCCTTCCTCGGGGTGATGCTGACGTTGGCGGTGCCAGCGCTAGGGGTGTGCTGAGGGATGTCGCCTGAAGAGCTTGCGTGGTGGCTGTCACAGCACCAGCGCTCTGTGAAAGTGAGCCATCACTTGTCCGCAGCCGTGTACGTTGTCACTTACTCTGCTTGGTGACTTTGAGTCACACTCCTGTGGCTACTCCGCCCTAGCCTGAGCATGACAGAGAGGCCCTTTGAGACGGTACTGCGGGTCCCCGCCCTGCCCAGGGGAAGCTGGGATTTCAGGCAGACCCAGCTGTCGGGGTGAGAGGGGTCTTCTGCTCGGCTGCCGCCCACCTGAGCTGAGGTTGTCCGCTCCCCTTCAGGGAGCAGGCTGGAGTGGAGACGGAGGTGAATGGGGAAGAAAGGGGCTTGGAGTTCCGGCAGCAGTAAGAACCCAGCCCTGCCCAGGGGAGGGGGCTGGAGCCCTTTCCTCCCTGAGAATGAATGATGAGGCTGCTGCCCCAGCCCTGGGCCTCAGGACAGGGTCACCTCAGCCAGGAGCGACCTGGGAGGTTGGTGAGAGGTCTGTGTTGTCCTGACCCTGGCCTGGTGCTGAATGTCCCCCCTCCTGCACCGGGTGGCTTGTCTCTCCCAACAGATAGGACAGGAGACCTGCTCACCTCTCTCCCAACCTGGCTAGACCTCATCCTGTGCGTCTGTGCTCATCACTCTGAGACAATGGGTTCTGACTCTGCTCCAGGTTAGATGTGTCCCAAGGAAGGGGGGAGGTGCCGTCAGCATTTCCTGACCTTGAACATGGCCAGAGTAGAGCACACAGGTTCACTGAGCGTGCTTCTGCTTTTTTCGGCCTCGAGGGAGGGGCCAGTCACCTTGGGATCCTCTCTGCCACCCCTCCAGCGTCAGCAAGCCCCATCGGCTCCTCCTCCGAAATAGGTCCTGACCCTGTCCCCTCAGCCATCCCCTCTCTCCTGGACAGCTGCCATGGCCTCCTAAGCCGTCTGTCTGCGTCTGTTGATCACCTGTGCCCACTGTCCACACAGCTGCCAGCAGGGTCTCTGAAAACCGAAAGCCCCTCCATAACACTCCTCTGTGTGAAATTCTCCAGCAGCTCCCCAAATGTCACGGAGTAAAAGCCTGAGTCTGGACAGTGGCCTACACGGCCCTCTGTGGCCGGGTTCCCGTGGACAACCACCCGGCTCCATCACTGTGATCCAGGCGTGCCGTGACCCGTGAGCACAGCGAGTACATCCCCACCACAGGCCTTTGCACCGGATCCTGCCTTTACCTGGACCCACAGTCCCCGTGAATCGACAGAACTCCCTTCCCTCTCTCCTTTCCCAGCTCTGCTCAAATGATCTCTCTAGAACAGCAGCCCTGCACGGCCCTCTGTCCTGTCTGACCAACACCTGCTTATCTGATCCTCCCTTCCACCGAATGACAGCTCCCTGAGGTCAGAGCGCTTCTTCTTGGTCACTGCCGTGTCCCTAGAGACCAGCATTGGCCTAGCACACAGTATGTGCTCAGCAAACATGGTGACAGAGCCCTGGCCGGTTTGGCTCAGCGGTTAGAGCGTCGGCCCGCAGACCAGAGAGTCCCGGGTTTGGTTCCCACTAAGGGCACGTACCTCGGTTGCAGTTTGTCCCCGGCCCTGTTGGGGTCATGTGGGTGGCAACCACTCGATGTGTCTCTCTTACATCCATGTTTCTCTCTCTCTCTTCCTCCCTCTCTCCCTCCTGCTCTGTCTCAAGATACAGGCAAAAATGTCCTCAGGTGAGGATAAAAAAAACCAAAAACATGTTGACAGAACAGAGAGGACGAATTCTGGGGGCAGGGGAGCAGAGGAGGGTCCAGGGGCGGGTGCTGTGTGGCACCTGAACCCCAGACCCACGGTGCGTCATCACTGACTGTCCGTCTCTGCGTCAGAACACCTCATCATTGCCCAAAGCTCTCGGACCTCCAGGACTTCGTCCTGTCTAAGAACCTTTTTTATTTTTATGTCATGCATTTCTTTAAATCAATTCAATTGATTGATTTGTTTTTTAACTTAGCCTTTTCCTAAGCTTTTATAGAAAAAAAAATCACTACTTTGGTATGCTGGTTTTCTTCTGTTCTGACAAATACTAAATAAAACATAAATATTAACGGCGGTCACTCCCAACCCTTCCTCGAATCACCTGCCTGGCCTGGTGCTGGGGTGTACCTAGAGGCAGCACGGGGTTACTCAGAGTCCCTCACTATTGACATTGCTCTGCCTCTCGGGGCAAAGTCCTTCCGGGCATTCCTGCCAGGCCAGACCTGCTGGAGCCAGGGTCTGTTGTCAGGGGACAGGTGTGTCAGGGCGAGGCCCTGCGTGGGCAAGAGACCTGGTCAGAACCCCCGCTGTGGCTGCCGTGAAGCCCCTCTGTTCTCTGCCTCATCTCACACCGCCCGGCCGCTCGGTTCAGCTCCTGGAACTTTGCCAAACACGTTCCCACGTGAGGCCTCCACGCAGGGTGTTCCCGGGTCGCTCTGAAAGTGCACTTTGCGCTGGCCTGAGGAGCAGGTGTCGCGGAGGGCAGTCAGGCGACCTGTCCCATGTCCTTCTCCCTGCAACACTGCCGGTCCTGCGGGGACAGGGCCTGGGTAGGCCGAAGGGCGGGGGCCCTCCCCACGGCTCCCAACCTGCCACCAGGCACCCCGTCCCTGCTCTGTGGAGGGACAGAGCAGCCTCCTTCGGTCACCTCGCCTCCCAACTTGGCTTGGTTTTCCCTGCGTCTAGACCTTGACGTTGGCCCCGGCTGTCTCCTCTGCTCCTCAAAACCGAAGGAGTGCCGCCCGGGGACCGTGAATTTGGCACAGCCCCGCTCTCTTCCCAGGGCTCCCTGAGCCCTTCGGGCCTGGGGGGCTCCTGTGGCTTCTCACCCAAAGGGCAGTGGACCAGTGGTAGGGGCCTGGACCCAGGAGCCAGGGCTCTGGGTTCAAATCAGAGCTGCCCAGTCGCCCCCTGGTGGACCCCAAAGAAGTGATGTAACTTCTCTGAGCCTCAGCCCCTCCAAGCACTGCCGGCCTCATCAACCCAGAGCGCCGGGCCACCCCGGAGAGCTTCATTCCCGCAGTCTGTGATGGGGCCTGGAAACTGCCTTCTGAATGAGTGACCCGGTGATGCTGTTGCTGCTGGTGCAGGGACCATAGTTGTCATAGTTGTTACGGGAGGTACATGGAGGTGAATTAATGTCAATCAGATAGAATCATGTGGCACGAAGTAAGCGCTCGACACCCGTCAGTTATCAATACCACGTATACCGGAGGATCCAGCCCTCTTCATTTACTTTCTTGTTTATTTATCTTTTTGAAAAGAACTTTATATTTTTCTATCTCAGTTTACATTCAGTATTACTTTGTATTAGTCTCAGGTGCATAGCACATATGCTGCAGGCAATCACATATGCTGCAAAGTATTTCCTCCAATATTCCCGGTACCCACCTGGCACCAGGCATAGTTATTACAGTATTATTGACTATATTCCCTATGCTGTGCTTTAAATCCCAGGACTATTTTGTAACTACCAATTTATATTTCGTTTTTATTTTTTAATTTTTTTATCCTCACTCGAGGACATTTTTTTGCATTTATCTTTAGTTAGAGCAGGAGGGAGAGAGGGAGAAAGAGAGAGAGAGAAACATCGATGTGAGAGAGACACATCGACTGGTTGTCACCCGCACGACCCCAACCAGGGCCGGGGATGAACCACAACCGAGGTATGTGCCCTTAGTGGGAACCGAACCCGGGACTCTCTGGTCCGAGGGCTGACACTCTAACCGCTGAGCCAAACTGGCCAGGGCCCAATTTATATTTCTTAATCCCGTCACATTTTT